CGGAGAAGCGTTTTTCAATGCAGCACGTGCGCTAAAGCGCTATTATCGTGGCTGTAGATCGATTTCAGAATTCACCAGGCGAAAGGTTCGAGCATTTCGATACACTTACGCCAGTACGTTGCGATATTAAACGGATTTCGTTTGTTTCTCTCGAGAGGGGACCGATTTAATCTGGAACCTTGGTGTATAGATTAAAAATTAGAAGCGATTGTTTACGCGACGACGTGACATGTTATTTGCGATGCACCATGCGCGTATACCTACTTATACATGTACGATGCACAAGCGCCTATTGAACGAGACACTATTCATTTACCTATTCTACTTGGAAAGTTCCCTGGGCTGAATAGCGGCTGACTTTTCGTTCACCTATATCCCTGCGCGCGATGCAAAACAGTTTGTAAGTTTTGTGACATGACAGCTTGAGATTTGCCGTGCTCGTTTCCACTGATTTCCAAATGTTTCACCGGCAAACCATCATAATTCGCGTAGGATAATTGAAACGCGTTTTCTACTGTTCGTTCATTCGTTCTTTCGGAAATTCCATTCATCGGTAGAGACCGTTTCGTATCATCAATACCACTTTAAAATAATAAATTTAATGTTCTGGAACGTATTGAAACATCGAATCGGGGTAATAAATTTATTTATTGCTCGCGAACGATTCTATCGGTGCTTTACGTATTTACGACTTGGGCCGGTGCGTTAGCGGAATTGAGGGATACTGTAAAAACTTTGAACGAGTCAATAGCTCCTCGAAACTTTTCTCTTCCTTTCCCTGCAATTATTCCCTGTGTATTACGTATGAACACACGAAACTCGTTAAAATTACTCTCCACTGTCGAACTTTGCTCTATCGGCTAGCCGAGTCGTTTTCCCGAAAAATCAACCTCAAAATGGAATTCCCTTATCTTTATAAATCATTCGTCTGCCTCTTGACCACTGAACCATTCGTCTAGCTTCTTATCTCCGATTAAACGGGAACCGCGACTTTCCCTGAAATTGCTAATTCATCCTGTACAGTAATCTATGTAGTTTAACGTACCAATTCACAAATGTCTATTTAGAGCGGAGAAGGTAAATGAATACACTCGTATAATGGACAGCGATTGAACGTAACGAATATCGATCTGTCCGTGTTATAATATAATCGTATAAGAAATGAAATTCGAGTGATAATGATTATATAATAATAATAATAATCAGTTCTAGGTGAAGATTACTTAGAACGGTGTCCGTGTCTCTGACTTGAAATAAAGTCATTGATTTCAGATACGAGACAAGTTATTTATAATGCAGCTCTTCCTCTGAATCGTTTCTCGAGCGTATACACATATATTGTATGTATCTAACACGTATTACGAAAGAATGTGGATGATGTGCTTCCATACTTCCTCTTTTTTTCTTCGCGATAATTGCACCATGACACTCTACGGAGAAGGATTTTCAATCGAAACATCGATGATTCAGGGAAAGCTGGCGATTTCATGAAAGTTTAACGCGGAGCTTCTGGTTCGTTGAAAGTGGAAGGTACAAAGGGAATGAGATCGAAGCAAACGAAACAGCGGGCAAAACGATGACACGAACGATCAGGCTTTTTTCTCGAACCATACGTACGCGAGATGCAGAGAAATCGGTAGAAAACGAACAAAACGAATTGATGTAGATGGAATTTTCGAGGCAAATCGCTCAGGTATAGCATTCATACGGATTCTGTGCTCCTCTCTGGACGATTTGTAAGTTATTGCACATTTAGACAAATTTATGACGTTTCTATGAAGTTACTGTATCCAGCGAGAGAGATTCATTGATTTTCTCTGTTTGAAGAATCGTCCGCATAGGCGGAAGAGTTCCCGGTTAATTAGTAGTACACCGTTAAATGGTTCGAACTCACGCACGCGCACGGTGTGCACGTAGCAATGGGCTAAAATATAAATTGAAAGGGAGTTTGGTTATTCATTTTAGGAACATTTGTACACGGAAGGCAGAAATGGATGAGCTGTGCGAGGTATAAATCTCTTTCGAGCGAAAACGTTTTGAGACTCGTGCAATTAATGAATTATTGTCGTCCTATCGGGAAACGATGTCGACGCGGTAAACTTACAACGACAAACTCGCTCTTTCCATCGAATGACATTGTTAGCTGAAAGTACCGATTATTTTCATTAAAGACAGTGAAAGTTGTTCCGCTCGTGCTTCTCATTGCCTTGAATTTATTATTTTCGTTGGAAAAAATTGATCAATTCGGTAGTTTCAATGTACATAAAATCTTATTTCGGATCGCATCGCGATTCACGTAAGAGAAAACTCCTTGATTTATTTTACCTTTGCCAGCGATTCCTCACGTCTGTAATGGCCTGATTGTGTCAAGAAAAGAGAGAATGGACATTTCGATATTCAAACACTTACAATTAAAAGCGGCATACCGAGAGGCGAAAGAGTTTCGTTAGCGTTCCGACGCGACGTTTATCTTCAAAGCGTTCGTAATTCTGCCCTCCCGTGTCACGGAAAGATTGTTTTTTACACCGAAACATTCTGACGTCTTATTTGACGTTCAAAGACGGAATAGGTATCACCTCTATGGGGCAGGGGAGCGCGATGACTTTCAGAATCGTGTTTATCATATTGTATCTCTCCTTCTTCCTCACGTGTACATCTGCCTTTTACGAGTGGCATTTGGTTTTGGAATTTGTGCAAATATTTTCACACGCTGGTCCATTTATGAGCGTGCTGGTCCAGCGGCGACAGCGACGACGGCTGCGACGCGCGTGTACCGGACTGAATAAAAAAATTTTCTCCCGCCGAAAACTAACGAAACGTTATTTTCCCTCGATATGGTAGAGTACCCTCAATTTCGTTACTATTTTATGACGAGGCACAGAATTCTTGGAGACCTACTAACCCATATCCTTAAAAAGGAAAGTGTGACGTTTAGTTCGCATGGAGGCCCTCGATATATCTTTGATATCAAATATCAAGAACGGAACCGACCTTTCCCAATCAAACCACCCACCAAATTATATATTCCCCTATCCTATCTTCGTTTCACCGACCAATTTCAATGCATCTATCGTAAGTAAGCTTCCGAATTCAACCGTTTCTTTTCACCGAGAGATGGGACTATCGACAAAGGGAGAAGTGAATCTTATTGTTAGTAGAATCCACGTACACATTTCCTTTCGAAGAGGAATGTTATACCTGTGTACGTAGTACATATTTCCGAAAGTGAATGCAAAAGGAGAGCTGTTAGATAGTTGCATATTGCTGCGCGTGTATAGAATTGCACGCATATCCGTTACATTGTCGTCTATTGGTTCGTACTTTGGAAATACGAGACGTGTTAGAACAGGGGTTGTATACAGTGTGTGTGATTTATCTGAGAACACTTAAATATCTCGAAAAGTGTGGATGACACGGAAAAGTATTTAGGACAAAATTATAGAGTTTTTTGATTAATATAGAACACATTTGATGTCTATATTTATTTGGCCTTGCGACGATCTTGAAAATCTCTATGAAGGTTACGATTAAATTCTTAAATAGAAACCTATAATTTTTAGTACACATTCTTGTAGCTGACGTTAAAACATTTTCAAAACACTGCTTACACGTTCATTTTGCAGTAGTTAATGTCGAAATATAAAGTTTCAAATCTAACGTGGCTCTAAAAATAACCGTGCATGTGGGGGAGTGTGTGGGGGAGTGTGAAAACACTGCTACTAAATCTTACTTTTCCTTCAATGTGTTTTCCATCAAGTAACATACAGCTTTCCATCCTTCTTAAAACTTTCGTTCTACACTTTTCAGCTTTGCAATATCTACATACATCGATTGTGTCTGCGGGCGTATTGAACACTTTGTGTTTCAAATAGTCCCAGAGAAAAAAATCATACGCGGAAAAGTCTGGCGATCTTGGAGCCTCGTTACTGGACCGCTACGTCCAATCTAATGTTATGGAAGCATTAGGACAAACTGTCTCATGTCATTGCATAGTCAATTTGTGTTTACGTAGCCATTGAAATTCTACACGAGTTTTTGGAATTAGCTGCGGTGTGGACAGCGTGACGCTAATACCGGGGGCACATCAGATTTGAAGTTTAATATTTTGACATTGATTAGTGTACAATGTACGTATAGGCAGTGTTTTGAAAACGTTTTAACGTCAGCTACAAGAGTATGTAATAAAAACTATAGGTTTCTATTTAAAAATTTAACCGTAACTGTCATAGAGTTTTTCAAGGTCACCGCAAGATCTAAATAAATATAAGCATCATACATGCCCCTTAGTACTCTACAATTTTTATCTTAAGTATTTTTCCCCGTCATCCATAGTTTTTTCGATATTTGAGTATTCTCAGATAAATCACACACACTGTAGGTATATGTAGAGTGATTGGGAATTTTAATGCCAAGAGAAGTTTAAGTACGAATCCATACATATCTCCTCTTTTCCAGGAGAAACAATCATTCTTTCCGGCGCGGCGCGTACTTATTTCGAAACGATCTTTGTTCGGAAACGAACGCAGTTGTTCATTTCGAAGCTAAACATTAATTTTGGCTGTTGCTCTCCCCCTTCCTTTTTCTATACTCTTCACTGTCACTGGAACGAGGAATAACGGTGAACGCCAAGGAATAAACTGACCTATGTTATCCGAGTTGATATTTTTGCATGCAACATGTAAACCAGTTGCACCGAGCACGATAACGAATAAATTGATTTCCTGGAGAATGTAGGTGTATGTATAATAGCTTTTCCAGTAATGGTCGTCGCGCCGTGCGGAATTAATGAATATACATAACAAAAATAAATGAAACGAGTAAGATCGCGTTCCCCGAATTAGTCGTTAATTTTAATGGCATAAATTGAACGAGCAGCTTGATGAAATTATTAACGCGGAATCATTCGAATTTTCATTCGCATATAATGTAATATGTACGTGTATAAATGTGTACGATGCTCTTCTTCTCCCTTCGGGGTTTATGGAATTTCACTAGGTTACCTCTGTGTCGTTCCACCACATGTGTAGCCGATAGTTCTTGAGGACGTTGCGGTCCTCGTTGATATGATCGACGGCGAGCTTCACCGAGGGCATCACGCCGCGACCAATGCGGCTCTCGGGAACGTGGCTGCCGTACGGAAAAAATCCAGCGATGTAGACGTCCCGTTTCTTCGTACCGGCAAGATTCAACGGCCTTTGGCCCGCACAGCTGATCCACAGAATTGTGGCACATAGGTAAGCGATCACGAAGAGACCACATCGCCGTCGAACGGTTCGTCTCGCAACCGCAGCCATTCTTTTAATCGCTACCGGGTGAAGTCGAGCTTTTCTTAGAAAAGACCCAAGAACACGATCTATCGATTACTGATTGACACTTTTAATTGGCTTTATTACCCGGCTTCTGATTACTTGAGGCGGTAATCTTGCCACCGGTTCGTACTATCTCATTGTGCGCGTGTGCATTGATGAAAGCGATCCGTCTGCTTAAATTTAATTGCGTCGAGGCAGCTTAATTGACTGTATCGAATCGACAACTATACGCTTCTTCATGTTACTTTGCTGCACTCCGTACCACCATTTTCACCATGACCTCCTCTCTCTCTTCCTCCTCTTCGCGCCTGCTTTCTCTTCACTTTGCTTTCAAGCGTGTTAGTGTGGTTAACGCGTAGTCGCACGATTTCATTCTAGCGAACGTGACACATGATCCCTTTTCTTCTCTCTCTTCGTGAATCTTCCCTTGATCAACAAGCATTCAACGTGTTTACGCTTTTTCGTTAGCTGCTGTCGCTGCTGGCTTGTCGGTCCTAGCCCTCCCGTTTCCATCTTCTTCACGACACGGGCACTTGCAATATCGTAGTGAAAAATAAAAGAGGTCGCTCGTTTCAAGGTTGAATTTGTTCAGAATTCAGGAGACGAATAGTGCGCGGCACGTTCAACCAAGGGCAACTAAATTTAAGGTCGTCTAAAATTTCAAACGCAAGTAACGAACAACCTCCTCTTCCTCTTCTCTCCTTATTGGTTTATGATCTAGGGTCGCGTTCTCCTAGTGCGTTTTTTTCCATGGTTGATCGTGACTCGCCAACCGAGCGACCGCATACAAACTGCACCATCTGTAACAGGAATGAATGATTTCCAGATTAAAAGGATCCGTTCACCCTTTAACTCTGTCATATATTTACGAGCTACAACGCTATGCTTTGTTCGTATTGAGGATCTTTAATTTGCGAATAAAAATTGACTCAATCGATTGCAGAGAAAAAAAAAACGTTTATTGATACAAATGTAATACAAAATAACGGAGGCGAAAACCCGAGTGAAAAACAGGTACTCAGTTCGGTGTTGTCGCACGACTGCATAAAGTGCGGAGAAGCATTTGTTACATACTTGGATCGGAACCACGGTCAGCGGACCCATGGCTTTTATGGCCCGGCCTGGGCCTACGTTAAGCAGAGAAATTCGCAGTAGAAAAATTCAAAATATAATCTATTCTCAATACTACTATACTTGTTCTTCCTGGAGAACACGTCAGCTTCCACCAAGTTGACATACTAATTTCAACATGAAGCAACTAGTTCTATGGTTGCAATCGCAGTAGGCATTGGTAGTGCTAACATTGTGACTGGAAGCTAAACAACTTGATAAGTTTGTCGTAGCTCAACTCAGTTCATACGAATAAAAGGAAATGCTCTCTCTTTTGAAAGATTCGACGAGTGTTTCTGAAAGGAACAAACGAAAATTTTCGACTATTGGATAATATCGGAATCAAGCTTTTCTATTTATGGAGAGAGAAGTTCGCGAAACGGTACATGTATATGTACAGCGAGTACTTTTCACGAAGAAGGCAGTAGCAACGTGGGAGTCCCTGAAGCAACGGAAAATAAGGAAAGAAATATCGTTGATACAACCATCACGACCAGCGGAAACTGTATACCGAAGGAAAAGGTTATACAATGCCACCAGCCATGTTACATGTTCGATAATTTTGGAAGTAGGTCAAACGATATCAATTTTGCGATTGGTTTCACGGTAGTTGTAGGAATAAAAATATTATTTCTCTCGTTTGCAGAACTTCCATAGAATTTGTTATCTATATTAAAATATTCCGGACGTGAAATATTCCAACTGTGACAAACTGTTATTGCACACTGGTGACGGTAAATTTTTCCACTAAATCTGAAACTTTCTCTCGAATCGTTCAATTATCTACGCTTTGAGACGCTTTTTACATTACGTAGACAAAAATCCACGGCAAAGTTGCCTTTTTCTCAATCAAAATTGCATATATATACTAAATCCAGTTATATATTACCTATAACTGGTACGCGTTAGACGAGACGTATTTTATCTAAGGCGCCGCTAGTTTTTACTAAAAAAGGAAAAAAAGAAAAGAAGAGAAAGCAAAACGAAGAAGAAAGAACACTTGCCAAGCTTATGCTTTCTCTGTAATTTACATAGGTTTCTGCAACACACGGGGTGCATCGGAGGTATTAAGAAATGCATTCTTGAGAAATTTTCACAGTATCTTGGCAGGGAGCACTCTAATGAACTTCTTTCATTAAAACTGTTCGGTGTCGCGAACGGCTGCCTCTGGCCAGTTATTGAGTAATACTACTTACTACGATGAACCAGCCAGAGTTTGCCGTCTGCTGCTGTTTAACAGAAGCTCCTCGCGTAAAAAGTAATTATCATGTATATGTATATGTATGTACACCAGGGAAACGGCGTCGTGGTGAGATGAGAAAAAGGACGATATGTCTGCCAGTTGATAAGCTTCTTCGTGTAATATTGTCGCAAATATTCCTCGAGAAATGCAAGAAAAATTCGGTAAACTAAAGAGAAAAGAGGACAGGAGGAAAATAGATAGAAACTCGAGATCAGTTTGCTGGAAGCTCCTACTTGACCGGGACTCTCGAGTCGATGAACGTCGGATGATCGTAAAGTTAAGTGTCCGGAACCTCTAAACCTTAAGCACCCAATTACAATAGCAGCAGCTGTCGATAACGTTCCCTTACAACGAACGACATCGTCCATTCTAAGAGACGCTTGTTTCGTACGATAAGGCGTCTTGAATCACGACTTTAAACCTGGCCTCGCTATTGTTCCACGTGTACGAACACCTATTGCTAATCATCGATTAAGTAACGTACCTAGGTCTCGTAAGATGATCTGGCTGAGTTTCTCTGGATCATACACAATATACATACGTTTGACAAATTGAGAGAGGACTTCGGTACGAGAGCAAAGAGAGGGGGGAGGGAAAGTGTTTCTCTAGGTTTGCACGTGTTTCGCTGTCGCATTGTGTAAGGCGCGGTGCGACGCGCCTAGGCAACGACCACGGGACCCGAGCCGCAGGGGGTCGTAGACAAGGAGCAGCGCAGGCTGCACCCCACTGCAGGGCTTGCAGGGCCCTAACGGCCGAAGAAGCGTATAAAAACGGGAAAAAGGGCAGCCGCCCACACATTATAGTACCCAACCATCGACCAGCGAACCAACGTCATTTTAAAAATCAGTTATTCTAAGCCCTTGTAATTCTTTACTCTTACAATTGGTTCAGTGGCTACTTTGCCGAATATGGAACGGACGTGTAAGTTGTTGTGGTTGGAATGGTCAGATAGGATACGTGTAATTAGCTATTGTTACTGGATTAATTGCATAAAAAGGTATTTAAAAAAGAGACGGGAGGGTATCGTAACGTGATCGGTCATGTTTGTCTGAAAATTTCTCTGCTTCAGTCCTGGTGTAACGTTTGCTAATGGGAAATATCCCATCATTCCACCTTCAGTTTTTCATCGCGAACTCTCGCCCCTCCATTTTCCAATTAGCCGTTTCTCCTCTCTTGGCGCATCTAAAATTCCAGGTTCTTCGCTGCTCAGCTGCCGCGCTTTTCTTTTTTCTTCTTAATAACTTCTTTAATCATTCATCCGGCCGGTCCATAGTCCTTTCTCATCTTGTTCTCGCACTCGTGTCTCGCAGCGGTCTCATTTCTCTATTACTTTCCGTAAAAGCTTCCTCTTGATTCGTCGCTGGTAGCGGTACAACACTCGATTCCCTTGTTCTTCTCGGGAAATTGACCGACCGTTCCGCTCGAGTTTACCCACCTCTCGGCTCTCGAGGATCGCTTTCGTTCTTCTTTTTCCCCACTCCTTTTCTTCCGTTCCTTTCCATTTTTGACGCGCGAACGCTCCTTCCTCTGAACATTTCATAGAGTGTTTGGACTAGAGTCTAGAGTATACGCACGCGGGGAACGGCCAACCGATACGAGGCAAAATTTCGCTTTCAAAGCGGCATGGAGCCTGAAAAATAGATGGCCCGTGTTCGTCAGTTTAAGGAAACTCGTGTCCCTTTTTCGTCACCTCGTCGAGAAGGGGAGAGAGGCTCCAACTGCAATTGTGTTGGCGTTGCTGTAATCGAACCAACTTCGACCATAGGTCGCTGGTTCACGCTCGCTCATGCTTTACGGCTACTCGGCTACTTAACCAACGATTCATTTCTTCCTCCTCGTATTTTTCTTCCTCTCCTGTTTTCTTTCCGTATTTTAAAAGAAAGGCCACTATTCAAGTGGCAAGGTTATCTAAAGAAGTTTCACGATCGAGTTAATTTCTTCTGCCTCTTTTTCTTTTATCGTGAGCGAGATTCACATTTTGCATCGTCTTTGCTATTTGATTCTGCGTCTGTGTAGTAGAATAGCCGAGTTTTCTTTAGAAACATCCTCGTTCCCAGTTGGACTGTGAACCAGTCCCGCTATGACTCATTTCTTCTTCCTCGTTTCCTCCAGCTTCTTCCATAATGTACCACGAAATCGGGCGCCGACTCTCGACCCAAGTTCCTTTGGGAACTCGTTTGCCCGTACTGACTCAAATTTCTACATGTTACTTTCGTTCGGAATTTCTTCCAGAAATCCTGTGCTCCGCTTTTTCTTTCTCGCGTGATGATCGAAGGAGAAGCGCTAACGAGTGTGGTAAGCGTATGCAAAGTTTGCGTAGAAATTGCCGGTTGGACTATAGTAGGAACCGCGGTTTTTCTGAAGGCCACTGAGTGACACGAAGGTTCGCTGGTTTTGTACGAAGAGGGATGATTGCCGGTCGGTCGGGGATTCGGGGATGAAAATCAGTAGGCTGTGAAGCGGTGAACGGTCGATTGGAGTAGCCGGTCGCGACTCTCGATCAATAATCCGGCGTTGTGTCGGTCGACTGGCTTCAGGTAGACCACCGTTTACACCCGACGCTTCAGGAGCCAGCTTGACGGACCGTGACAGTCTGTCAGCTTCAGAAGTAACGTCTGTTAGCGTCCGCCAC